TTAAGCATTAGCGGATGTCGCCCTTCAAAACTAAATCATACTTGAAGAATTTTATTGATTTCAAAGGTTTCCGAATATGTGGATGAGAGCCTGAGGGATGCACCGCATGATATGCGCACTAATGAACAAAATCTGTTGCTATAGCATATAAACTATACCGCAGTATACTGGCAGGTGCGTACCCTCAACCGCCCAACAAGAACATTTCGCAAGAAAAACAATTTCTACCGACTGAACGAAAGCCCCTACCTTACAGAAAACCGTTGTCTTTAGCTYATTAATATAACGGAACGTTTTTCATTTATAACTCAGTCAGATGATTAAGAAATGTAGACTGAAGTGATATTAACTCACATGTTTTTCATTAACCAAACCGAGTCCACAAACCGCCGGTAATTTAAAGTATGCGGCAATAGAATGATCGACGTACTATATACGTATGTTACGAAACTACGACTATGATAGTCGTGTTAACTGAAGCCAGATACCATATTATATTTGTCAAGACATGCCATGATAACCTGACACAAACAGACTCACCTTGCGCAAGACTTGTAGTCGTTCGTCGATCAGTTAAGCACTGATAGACCGCCTAAGACTATGTTTCTTCTCAGTTTAGTATCTATAAATGTTCATGTTCCTATTCCAGTCCTAACAGACCTCGTCTTTTACCAATATTATCGACAAAATAAAGAGTAGTGTTAATATTTCTACGTCGAAGCTAAATTATGTAAATCGTTTAGATAATCATCATTGAGAATGTCAAATCACACGGCTGGATTGTTTGGTTTTCCCAGAATATCTCGACTGATTCGGACAAAAGAATAGGGTTTGATGAAATATAACCTATAGTAACGATAAGAATCCAGTGCATGTTGTGGCAAGATTTCCGATGATGAATGGAAATCTGTTTTTTTTTAAGGAGCGTCTTCGTAGCTTATGATAAAAGTAATGTATCTTCTCGGTAATGGTCTGGTATACAGGCCTGCTTTTCATCCAACATGTTGGCAACTTATGGCCTTTTATTAGACGCGAAAAAACGAAAATTAATTACAAAAATTAATTACTCTGAAAATTATCAACTAGCATCATTTCAAGGATCATTCAGTTAGAATGTTCGGCAACAAGACGATATAGCATGCACCGTCTTCAAACAACTATTACTAGTCACAAAAAAGGACTTTCAAGTATCATCTGCTCATGCGCAGGAACTTGGAAGCTTTGATAATCTGCAAATAAGTTATACGCTTGATAGTTATTAATAATTTAAAAAGACAAAAARGTCCCGTCCGTCTGTTTCACAATGTACACTAACGAGTTAGGTTTAACTACATTAGGAAATGGCGTGAAGTGGCGTTAGAAGTTTATCCCTACTAAAAAATATCAACAGGTGACCGTAACAGCACTAAAATGATCAAACAAACATTGTACATACTAGTGAGTCCAAAATACAAAGCGACGTACCATGATATATTCTATATACACACGTGTCTAAAAGTGACAATTGGGATCAGCCTGGATAGGTYATGGTATAGTCCAGGACATCAGTATCATGTACACCCTGGCCAGGCCATGGTATAGTCCAGGACATCAGTATCATGTGCAGCCTGGCCAGGTCATGGTATAGTACAG